AACAGTCGCTCTATAACAAACGCTAGAACGTCTCACGTGCTCGACAATACTTAGTTCAATTACTCACTACACTGTTCCCGTCACGTTGTGACCATCTTATATATATACCAGATTACCCCAATCTAGTAAATGTTAGGGCATTCACGAAGGAACAGGATATTTCTAGAAAACGTGGCGTGACACTAGTCACGTGACCTCGCTGACGCAACAGTATTTATCTGATATCCTATAAATCATCAAGATAACGAAACGATAAACACTCATTTCTACGTGCGTATTAATTAATATACTGTGAAATATTATATACACACACGCGTATATATATAATTGATTTGCATGATAGTGATATTGACATAGGACAAGAAGGAATCCTCAATAACCGCGGCACTTAAAAGCGTTTTAGGTAGGATTAGAGTAAATTAATCTATGAGACCTTGAGCCTGGTCAAATATATCAAACGAAATGGTTTGACCTCCTGTGTCCTAAAATGTAATTGTATACCAAATCGGTCAAGAGATGACGGAGCTATGAGCTAAACGTTTGTACTTTAAAAACTCAGAGCCATTTTATGATCCCCTGTGCCTCGGCTAAAAATATGTCGATATGTCAAAATTCTGTAAAAAATAACCATCCTCAACAAAATTTAAAAAATAGAAATATTTTCACATTCACTGATTGTTGAATATATTCCTTTACATGAATATTTTAATGAAGAATTGATTTATGATACGAGGTAATTTTAGGCTTAACAAAATGTCAAACTTTATGTTTTGTTTTTATGCAGAACATAATTTCTGACGGAAGGTGGCGTTGTCTTTTTCACGCGAACTTTCTGACTTATGGCAATAGGTTTGTCACCCTTCATCATGATAACGTTTTTAATTTTAACAAAAACATGAAAGAAGCTTCAGCATAAACAATTTTACAGATTTATCGCTAAAGGCTTAATAATTTATCTAACTTGACAATAAATACTGGTATCTGTCCAAAGTGTTTAGCAAACTTGGTGTTAGATACTAAATATATATATATATATATATTGTTACGACAGCGGAGGTCACGTGACGCTAGTAACACGTCATGCGCTTCTAGAACGTTCATGAAGTCTCGGGAGTTTACTAGATTTCGGTATTCTTATACATATAAGACGGTCAAGACGTGATGGCAACAATGGGTAATTGAACTGCGAACAGAGAGAGTATTGTTGAGTCAGGCACGTGAGACGTTCGTTGTGAATTATAGCGTTTGTTATAGCGCGACTGTGGAAATTAAGTATATTGCAAAGTTGTATTCATAATAATTAAACCAGTTTTATTTAAGAAAGGACTTGTATCGGTAAAGTTTTTTTGGAAATAATTTTTACGGAAAATTAACTAACGAACGGAGGCGTAACAAATTGGTGTCAGAGAGTGGGACAAAAAAAATGGAAACGAGAAGCGGCAAATCAAACTACAGCTTAGCTAATATGATGGCAGCAATACAAGAACAGCAAAAGAAACAAGAAGAACGAGAAGAGAAACAAGACGAGAAAATACAGCAGTTCTTGGAGGAAAAAGAAAAGAAACAAGAAGAGAAATTACAGCAGTGGTTGGAGGGAAAAGAAAAGAAACAAGAAGAGAAATTACAGCAGTGGTTGGAGGGAAAAGAAAAGAAACAAGAAGAGAAATTACAGCAGTGGTTGGAGGAAAAAGAAAAGAAACAAGAAGAGAAATTACAGCAGTTGTTGGAGGAAAAAGAAAAGAAACAAGAAGAGAAATTACAGCAGTTGGTTGGAGGAAAAAGAAAAGAAACAAGAAGAGAGACAACAGCAGTTGCAAGAAAACCTGCAACAGTGGCAGCTCGAACAACAAAATAAACA